GCATGTTCCTTTGCTGTGTTTTAAATTTCTTTCTTGCATATTCTTTGCTTTTGTGGTCAAATTCCTTTATTTAATCTTTTCAAGTCCTGATATTTTCTCTTTGATCTATTCCAATTATAAAAAATTTCCCTGAGTTTTCTAATTGAGTTACCGAGTTTCTCAATTTCATCTTCATTTCAGTTTACATTCTGAGTAGTTCTATCTCTTTACTGAATTCAGTTTTCAAATCTCCTATTTTCTTCATAATTTTAAGCAGTTTTCTTGGATGTCACTCAGAAGTTTATTCCTGTACTCTTTCAGTTCATTGAAGTCTTCATTCTTTCATTTTATTTTTGAGATTATAGTATAACTACATTTCTCCCTTCCTTTCTTCCTTCTAAACTCTCTCATATACTCCACCCATCACTGGCCTCTCTTTCATTAATTGTTGTTGCATCTGACATATATATATATATCCTCTTCAGTCCATCAGTCCATATAATGCTACTTGTATGCATGTTTTCAGGGTTGAGTGTTTTGCACTGGACAACCAAAAACTCTTATTCTTTGAGGAAGTTTATGGGTTTTCTTTAAATTCTGTATCTTGGGTTCATCTATGTAATTGTAATTGAAGAAAATTTTTTTATCACTAATGGATTTAGGGGAGATATAATGTCCTGTCTTTTCACAATTTTTTTTTCTGATGTGACCTGGGTATGTGAGCTTCTTTCATTGCTGTGAGGTCTAGCTTGCCTCTTGAGAAGAAGTTGTGTTTTGATTTACTATTGCCCAATCTTGGTGGATTTCAGATTAGATATGAAGAGTTGGGAAGCCTGTCCTTCACATCCTCAGTGTTGATTTTTGTTTGGAGATATAGGGGTGGTTCTAATTCAGTGGTAATTGAGAAGGACTGCAAATGGTTGTGTCTCTCTGGGTTCAAACTCCACGATAGGAGCAAGGCCCAAGAGTATGGTGAGAATTCAGGTAAGACTTTGGGGAACTTAGCTTGGTTGGTGTGTAGGCTGCATGGCTGGAACAGGCCTGAAAGTGTGGGGATATGATCTTTTTAATGGTACTTAGTCTCCTTGGTCATAAAGTGGCTGTCCAGAGTTGGGATTTATTTATCTACTTGTTTCCTCTGTGCAAACCAAGTAGCATTATTTGGTATTAGACAGAATTGTCAGATCCAGCTGACTTGGCTTGTTCATACCTGAGAGAAGGGGCGTGTAGACTGAGGAAAGAAATAGGCTAGAGACAGAAGATAGAGTCAGGAGGGCATCCAGTGAACGCTGGGATCTGCCTTAAATTTATTGCTCAATGTTCTTATATTCCCTAACCCAAAGGTGGGGAAAAGGAAAAGACTTCTTTACTATGATACAAGGAACAAACTGGCATAATTACTTCCTTAACTCTCAAAACATTTAGTAATCACACCTTAGATCAAACCTCTTGTTATCCAGCCTTGAGGATTAACACATCTAGTAACCTTAGATCAAGTAGTCTGTCATCTAGTTGAGAAATCCACACTTTAGGCCAAATATCCTTTAGTAGCCACATCTTAGACCTTTAGGTCTTAGACCTTTTAACCTTGAAAGTACAAGGATAGCTCTGAATTCTCTGACCTTAAGTCAAGAAAAAACAGAACAACTTCCATGGGCCCCGACAACAAATACTTTGCCTACTCTTGTTTAAGAAAACAATAGGAAGTATTAGGTTTCATTATTTCATACAAACCATATATATCTCTTCCCTCAAGCTATACTTGTCTGTATAGAGTAGTCTTATATTCTTCTTCTTTTATCTGTATGATGCAAATTATAATTCCCTTATGCACTACTGATTCTCTTTTAAAGATTTGTGTTTATATAGATAGATTGTGCTTGTGTGAATGTATGCCACAAGTGTGTGTGTGTGTGTGTGTGTGTGTGTGTGTGTGTGTGTGTGTGTGGCATAGAAGTCAGGAAAGGGCATTAGATACTCTGAAGCTAGATAGAGTTACAGATGTTTTGAGCTTCCTTATATGGATGCTGGTCACTGAACTTGGGTCTTAGATACAGCAGAAGTGCTCTTACCCAGTGAGCCATTTCTCCAGCCTTCACGAACTAGTACTTCTAAGAGGATTTCCTTTTTTATTAACATATACTGTGACATATTCATTCATACATATATAGAATTTACACATATTTACACACTACATTCTCATATCCCCCCTTTCAATCCTCTTCCACTTTCACATTTTTCTAAACTTTATATATAATGAAAATATGTAACACTTATCCAAGTCTGGTTATGTCACCTAATATGACTTACAATTCCATCCATTTTTCTGAAAATGACATAATTCAATTCTTTGTGGCTGAATAATACCACACTGAATACACTCATCACATTTTCTTTATTTATTCATCCACGGTCTGGCACTTAGGTTGATTCATGTATTTAGCCATTGTAACTGATACTATAATAAACATGATTACACAGCCATCTATATTATATCCTGACTTTTATTCTCTTGAATCTGTACTGGGTGGTAATATGGATGGAACATCTTGCAATTCTGTTTTTGCTTGGGGCAGAATCATCATATTGATTTTTATGGTGGCTGCACTTACATACCTACCAATATTATGTAAATATTCCCTCTCAATGAATCCTGACCAACATTTCCTTGTATTTCATTTTCTTGATGACATTTCTGACATTGTGAGATGGAATATCAATATAGTTTGGAACTGTATTTCCCTAAGGACTAAAGAAGTTGAACACTTTAGTGTATTTATTGGCTATTTATGTCCTTTAAAAATCATCTTCTTATTTTTTTTAATTAAAATATATCACTTTTCCGTTTCCTTTCTACAACCCTTTCATGTACCCCTCTTGCTGCATTTTCTTGTTACTTGTTACTGTTACATAAATATATGAATAAATATATAAATATAACCTGATGAATTCATTTAGTGATTGTACGCATATGATTTTAGGGTTGGCCACTTGGTATGAGATAACCAATTAAGATGGTACATCCCCAAGGAAGACTAATCTCCCACCCCAAGAATTCCTTATTTTTCTGTAGTTCTTTGTCTAGGGATGGGGCCCCATGAAATTTCCCTCTTCCATGTCTGCATGCCTATTAATGTTGCCCTTGTTCAGATTTTGTGTAGGCAGCCATATTATTGAGGGACCACAGATGAAGCTTCCATGACATTCTAGGATGCACAATCTCACAGCAGATTTCCTGGTCATCTGGCTCTTACAATCTTCCCATCCACTCTTCCACAATGTTTTCTGAGCCTTAGGTGTCCAGGTTGTGTTGTAGATGTGTAATTGGGAATGTGCACCCCATGATAGTTGTTCTCTGCATTTTCACTAGTTGTGATTTTCTCTGTTATTCTCTACCTGATGGAAAAAAGAAACTTTGATGATGGGTGAGAGCTACACTTAGCTTTGAGTATAAATATAAGTATCTTGAATAATGCTGGTTCAGTGAAGGGATTGTAGGTTCTCTTCTAATGGTCCTTGAACTTACTAGCTCCTAGTGCTTGGCTAAGTTTCCAGTACCTGGCATGGTTGCCTTCTTGTTGAGTGGGTCTCAAGTGGACAGTTATTGATCACCAAAAGATGACTGACACTGTTGAAATCTTAGGGATATCTTGTCATGCTGTTCATTCTTGTGGTTCACAGGCATCATACCCAGGTAGAAATAGTGATTTCTTACTCCATGTAGTATGAATAATATAGACCCAGAGACAGATACTGCGATTGAAGCTGTAGATCAGAAAAGCAAAACAACAGGCCACTAGCTCTTACCTCTACCAAGACTGGAGTGATCTGTCCCTCAGAGTGGCTGGAGACTGAATACTGAATGCCCAATCCTGTCTCTATGAATCCTCAGACTGAATGCTGCATGAGACCCTGAGCTCCTGTCTTAATACGCCTCTCTAGTGCTGGGAGTAAAAGACTGTACCACCACTGCCTGGTCTCTATGGCTAACTAGTGTGACTGCTGGCCTCTATGGCTGTGGCTGCCTTTGCATTCTGATAGTCAGCAAAGCTTTATTAGAACATAAACAACATATTAGTAGCTTGCATAGCATCTTCTTTGTACTATGAAAGCTAGTTCTCAGGAAGGAGGCTTTCAAGTCAGATCCAGCTCAGATCTCCAAGCCCTGTGTTCAAAGTGCATGGCGTCTTCAACAATAGGACTTACTCAACTTCTGGAAGGCAACCAAGGGCAGTAACAATAACCTGTATTGTTCTGGGAGTCTCTTGGACTCCCCTAACCATCAATTCAAAAGAGGGTTTCTCATGCTTGGTATTGGGGTTTTAGTTTGTCTATGGATCTTGGGGAAGGAGTACTGTCAGTCCAAATATCTTATCTTCATTTAAATGTACATGTATACACATACACTTACATGTGTTATATGTAATTAATGTAAATAATATGATTCCATATGGCTTTTTCAAACAACTATATTGTAATTTTTCTATCCTCCCTCTTTCCTTTTGTGTGTCATCTCTCCCCTTCTCAATTAAATCCCATTTTGCCTGCTTACTGACTCACTTATTCTTTAGTGTTTTTCATAACCACATGTTGAATCAGAGAACTTGGCTATGTCAACAATATATTTATCTTCTAAACCTTTACCTACCACATATTTTAATAATTGTTTAGTTTTCTGTGACTTTGTCTAGTATAATTTCTTTTTCAATTTATATTCACCTATTTATGTGGCGATTATATATAGGATGAACATGGTTGATAGCAAGTACCTTTACCCACTGAGCCATCTTGCTCATCCTCTTCTATTCCAATTTCTGTGTGAACAGAATCTCTTTCTTTCCATTTCAAAATCCCCAGTAAGGGGTACTGTGTTTAATATTAGCAGGATCCCAGACATTAGAGGATGAAGTCCATGACTCAGTAAGTCAAGGGATGGTAATTCTATAATTCATCTTCTATGGGTAGATTTTCCTTTTGGTTATCTCTAATAACCCACTACACTTTTCTCCTTGTTTTGATAGTATTACGTCTCATGGAGGACATCAAGCAGGTGTGATGCCATTTGTTGTCATGAATGAACTCCTCCTAGGCTCAAGTAAGCACACTATATTTTTTCTTTGATAGATTGTTATAATTCATCAAAGGATCTCTGGATTGTTATTGGCCTTAGTTCATGTTGCCTAATTTTTTTTCATTGAGTATCTTTGATTAACTTTAATGGTGATTATAACATTTTATAGTCTACAGTATGACATTGAAAACCTAAATGCAAGTTCAGATATAACACTGTATTATATGAAGGTATTATATATAACTGTATTATAGATATTATAATTTTAAGGTAATTAAGGTTTCTATCAAAGGTAATTATATAATTATATTGTATAAATAATATAATTGAAGGTATTATAGATAACTGACCTCATCCTATTACTTGATGTGAACTAGGTCTGTGTTAGGGACTGAGCAATGTCTTACAGATTAAAACTTGGCAAATAGCAGGGTTATGATATTGAGGTTATGCAGGCTTATCTGTGGGAGCTGTGTGTGTTTGACTAGAATTTATGAGCGAATGAATGTACTCCACTTAGGTTCAGGTAAGCACACTATTTTTTTTTCTCTGATAGAGTGTCACATGGCATCAAAGGATCCCAGGGAGGGAGGGACAATAGACTCTAGTAGGAAATGATGGAAGCTTATATCATTATCATTCTGATTTTATTTCTATCACTATACACTCAGGTTATGTTTTTCCTTCAGATGATTTACAAAGAAATTCATAGTAAATCAGCTTGAGTTACCATGCCTGTAAAAGACAACAAGCTAGTTGTGGTGAGGCCAGGAAGTATCTGGGTACTGGGGTGACTTGAGAAGGATGTGCCTTATTGACATTGAGAGCTCACACACTCATAATGTACTTACATAGTTTTCCTGTGGGACTATCAGCAGTGACCAGCGTGAAATATTAGTGCACCAACAATCAGACACTCAAATGTCTTTGTAAAGTACAGTCCTGTCCACAGTTACAGTGCTATGAATTAACAGTAGAGGGAAAACAGGTGTCCCTGCTTCTGTGCTCACACTCCGTAATGACTAACCTGACTTCTATATATACTCCAGTAGTTAACAACCAGCTAAAATTTTATCTTTAGTTTTGACACACAAAAAATGGAATGACTATGTAGTATACATAATTATCAGTAATCCATACAAGCTCTGATTCTTATTTTTGTAATCTCTAATCTTTCATAATCTCTAATCTCCCTTAGACACTTCACACATGGCTCCGAAAAATACCTAAACAGTAACTGTTGTTTCCTATGAGTGGTTTTCTGATTTACATAAGTGATGCTACTTCAGTCGTTCCTACTCTGCTCCTCACTCTCATGAGCTAGAGTGGAATGAACCTACTTGTGCTTGTTGAGTCTGCTTGTGCGTGAGTTTTTCTAGCCCTGGCTCATCGGGTCAGCTTGCACTTACACGTGTGAGTTCACTGAGAGCTCCAGGTTGCTTTCTGCAATGACGGTGTCACGTGACAATGTCTCCAGGAGCAGGAGCACATCCTGGTTCCTGTTTCTCCTCTTGTGTGTTAACATTTTGATTATATTTATGATTTTCTCCCAATATTGAGCAAATGAAGAGGGTGTCACTTTACTTTGGAATTAAAGGCAAAGGGTACAGAAAATTTCAAGAGAAATGGGAAGATATGCTAATTTTATAAATGACAGCAATTCAAATTGTAATATGACACAGTAATAGCTTCATTTTCATATCTTATATTATTTGATAAGCTAATTTTGTATGCCAAAAACAATAAATTTACCTAGATTTTTAAAAAATTCTATTTTGCTTTATTGGGCTGTATTGCTATATATCCCCAGCAACCTATCTTGTTATGTAAGTGAGACTATATTTGAACTTATGGCAGTCCTCCTACCTTAGCCTCAGTACTAGAAATACAGTCACGTACTAACATGTGTGGCTCATCTGAATTTTTTAAAGTTAAATTAAATATGCATACTATAATTATTAGTATGCAAAACAATAGCAAAGGTAAGAGATGAGTCATATTACTAAGATAAAAAAATAACGTGAAGGTGGCTTATAAACAACACAGAAATAGCTCTTTGGTTGTATAATACATTGCTATAAGAGTAAGGCAATCCTGACTACCAAAGGAGAAAAATTCATTTGTAATATGAAAACTCTTTAGTAATATGTAAAGAGAGAGATCAAGGGGGAGGGAGAGAGAGAGAGAGAGAGAGAGAGAGAGAGAGAGAGAGAGAGAGAGAGAGAGAGAGAGAGAGATGTTATTTGTAACATGGACAGATAATCTGAATGAGAAAGAAAAAGGTCTGGTATCCTTCTTTAATATTATTAAAGAAGGATATGGTAGAAACCATATGTTAAACTGTGATATATTTGATTACATCAAATTCAATAGTTTATGTCAAGTGAATGTATAATATTAACATGCAGATGACAATGAAAAAAATACACTTAGAACTGATGAGCGTTTACAATGCTATTTATATTGAAACAGTACAAGATCAGCAGACACACGCTCTCACATAGAAGAGGGACTTTTTCATAGCTTTCAGGAGATATGGAAACAGTAATAAAATGAGCAAGGGCAGGCATAGCTCAGAGAAAGAAAACCTCAGACGTCAGGTAAATATTAACCAGCATTGAAGAGAATCAGATTCATTAGGAAGAGGAAGAAAGGCAAAACAGCCATATGGTAAACGCATCCCATCAATAAAGCAGTCACCAGAAAACATTAACAGTAAAGCTACCCGTGAGAGATAAAATCCCAAATGTATATCACAGTAAGTAGGCACTCACTCATTAAGGTTCAAGTTCATGATTCGCCTCACAGGTACATGACTGTGAGGTACCTGTCTGCGGATCACTGCAGTGAACACCATGGCTGTCACTGGAGGCAGAGTCACAAGGAGGGGGTACTTAGGGATTAAGGGAAGGGACTATGGTGCAGAGTGCTGTCGGGCCACCAGCTCTACCCTTTCCTATTCTAACTCCCATTGTCTGACGGAAAGAAAGTTACTTCCAGTTCAAATCCCACTGACCTTATTTGTAAATATGCAATAATCATGGTGTTCCATTCACAGAACCATGATGCTTAAGCAATGCATGAAAAAGAATTCTCTAGAAGCCTATGTGTGATGTAAACTTCATAAATGTTACCTGTAGCAATGGCTTATTCCTTGGGTGGCATTTTTACTAATATTCATAATATTCTTATTTCTATTTATAGCAAGCCATAGGATACACACACACACACACACACACACACACACACACACACCTTAAGAACCACTTTTATTTATTTATTTATTTTTGGTTTTTCGAGATATGGAGACAGGATTTCTCTGTGGCTTTGGAGGCTGTCCTGGAACTAGCTCTTGCACACCAGGCTGGTCTCAAAATCACAGAGATCTACCTGCCTCTGCCTCCAGAGTGGTGGGATTAAAGGCATGCATCCCCACCATCCAGCAAGAATCAATTTCAAGACAAGATAAATTTCTAATTACTACAGAACATTGTTGTTTTTGGAAGCTTGTGGCAGAATTAAAATAGTAGGCACATAAATGTTCACGCTAGTCCTCCAACTCTGAGTTTAAAACCAGACAAAAAAAGCAAGTTGCAAACACTGGATATAAAGAAAGAAGAGGAGTCCAGTTGGAAAAGAAAGAAAAAGAAAAGTGTTCAAACCACCAACAGAGACAAGTGCATTAAATCCCTGATTGATTCTGGAATCTGATAAATTTTTCCTTGTTTCCAAAATTGTCGTGTCCCTGTCCGTGTCTCCTCCCTCCCCCCCTGCAAGAGTAATAGGAACTAGTTAGTAACAGAGGTAACTGCTTCTCTCAGCATGCATACAGCATTCTAATTAGGCCTCACAACAACCCCATGACGTAAATTTTATCTCACATGGATGAAACACGTAAGCAGACTTACATACAGAGCAAGTGATGATTCAGGGGGAGCCCGAGGCTGGGAGAACCCAAGGTCCAGGCTGCATTTTTCCAAATGCTTCTCAATCAAATTCAGAATAGAAAGGGAAAACAGATCAGTGTTTATCCCCTAGGGCCACTGAGATACAGCCTGTCATAGTGGTGGTGTCCCATTCCTAAACACACATCTGAAGGGTTTCACAGGCTGCTGTCTCACACTTCGGCAGGTATCTCCCACTGAGAGGTACAAGGCTAGCAAGAGAGAAACCAAATCAGTGACCAACATAATCCTACTATCTTTGCCTACTGTAGAGGCAGCTTCATCCAGTCATATCTATTTATAGAGAAAAAAAGTCATTTGCTAACAAAAATAACACTATAATAAGTAATCTTGTAAATACGAACGCACCATGAGCAACTTGATGTAAAACTTGTTAAAATATGTGAATCAATGCTACTGATTGATTGAATATTTTGTTTGTTTGTTTTTGTTTTCGAGACAGGGTTTCTCTGTATTGTTTTGGAGGCTGTTCTGGAACTCACTCTGTAGAACAGGCTGGCCTCGAACTCACAGAGATCTGCCTGCCTCTGCCTCCTGAGTGCTGGGATTTAAGGCGTGCGCCACCGATGCCTGGCTTGAATAAATATTTTAATACTTAATACCCAGTCAAGCACTATTTCCTGCTGGGCTAGAATTGGTGTTTACTTCATTTCTGTGACATGGAAGTACTCACCTTGTTTCTTCACTTATATAATTAAATATCATCAGTACTTTTTGGTGCTTGCAGAAGCTTTAAATGAATAAGCACACAGATGCTTGGATCTAGACATAGTCTCTTCTCAGATTTGCTGATTTATGTCATCTTTAAACGAAAAAGCAGGAAAGCTGGTAGGATAGACGGAATGGATTCACCAGCCTAGCTTGGCAAACTCTCCGGGAACCACAGTTTACATAGCACTTATCTTTACTAGAAGCAAATTTTGCTTAGGAACAAAGGCATAGTTTACTTCTCCCTGATGTTGGGAAGGAGAAAGCAAGGTGGGGGGAAGGATGGGGATTAAGTTTTCTGTGACAATGGACATTGCACATAGATTCAGTCTCTGTTGATCAGTAACAAAA